TTTAAAGGACTTCTACATTGTTAGGTAATGTCTGCATATTCTGTGCCAAGGCTTGTAACTTTTAAAAATTATTTTTAAATATTTCTTATTTTATGTGACTGGATGTTTTACTTGCATGTATGTATGTGTACTACTTGTGTGCTTGATACCCAAGGATGCCAGAATAGGGCATCGGATCACCTAAACCTGGAGTTAGACACTGGTGAGCTGCCCTGTGGATGCTGAGAATTGAACCCACAGACCCTCTAAGAGCAGCCAATGCTCTTAACCACTGAGCCATCTCTCCAGCCCAAGGCTTGTAATTTTCAAGGTAGGCATCTTTCTTAGTTAGGGTTCCTGTTGCTGTGAAGAGACACTATGACCATGGCAACTCTTGTAAAGGAAAACATTTCATTGTGGTGCCTTGCTTGCAGTTTCAGAGATTTAGTCCATTGTTGTCTTGGCTAGAAGCATGGTAGCATGCAGGCAGACACAGAGCTAGAGAAGGAGTTGAGAGTTCTATATCTTGATCTGAAGGCAGAAGAAGGAGCCTGTGTGCCATACTGGGCCTAGACTGACCATATAAGACTTCAGTGCTCCCGGCTCCAGTGGCACACTTCCTCAAAGAAGGCCACACCTCCTAAAAGTACCCCTCCCTATGTGCCAAGTGATCAAACTTGAGTCTATGGTGGCCATACCTATTCAAACCACCACACCATCAAATAGACTTACAGCATGTTTATTTACATTTTACTAAAAGATTCTGGACTTTTACTAAACAAAGTTACCAGATTACTTTTGGGATATTAGGGCAGTAGCAGAGCTACCATGGATGATGTGTCCAGGACAATTAAAATTGTTCACCTCTCTTCCTATGATGTGTTATGTCTTTATCAACTTGTATTCATTTTCCATATCAAATTCTGGATTCTGATCATATGTGTTTGATGTGTACCATAAGCACCATCACTTCCTCTTATTTATTTTGATACAGGGTCTTACTCTGTAGCTCAGGGTTATCTGAAAGTCATGATTATAGTCCAGCCTAGCCTTTAACTTGTGTTCATCCTAATACTTCACCCCCACCCTGACTTCCTTTGGACTTTGTCTGCCTTAGTATTTGTTTTATTTGTCCTTTATCAATTGTCTTTTCTGACTCAGTAGGAAGCTCTTCCCCAGCCTCTCACCTCAATAAAGATACACACTTTTTCCATAATAGATCCGTCAAGTTCCCCCTGCCTCCCCAACACACACAACTGGATAGCTTGCAAGAGCTCCCGCCCTAAAACAGACAGATTACAAGATCAAAGAGTCTATGATGAGGAAAACTTACTTGACTGCAAGTTACAATAAGGAGAGGGTAGAAAAATGGACCTTGGAAAATTAAACAGTGGTAGTGAACCCCGGATTTAACATCTAGTGGCCCCAAGATGCTCTGAACTTTAAAAAGAGTGCCCTAATTAGGATACTAGGTTATGACAGACTTAGAATAGGAAGGAAACACAGGTGCCCATCAGGAAGTCAAGGAAAGGGATCATGGAAATCTCTAATCAAAGGCCCTTTAGTGTTGAAATACTAAAGGCCCTTTAGTATTTTAAGGCTGTCTGCCAGAGCCATGTACATTCCAACCATCTTCTACAACAATAATGGGGCCATCAAAACATGCAGCACCACGGATTAACTGTTGTGTAAGAAATACAGCATCCTTATCCTAGGATGATCTCCAAACTGCTTTTATCAGCATTTCATCAGTTCAGAGTGTCATGAACATCCCTGGCTAAACTCCCTCAAACATCTCTCTGTGAGTCACTGAACTCAAGTTCCTCTCAGAGCTGTGGCTCTTTTACCCTGGGAGTTACCTCGGCGTCACCCACACAGGCTTTCAGACTCCAGGCTCAAAGTGGCACTCAAGTCCTGCAAGTTAGAAAGTTCCCCAGAGCTTGCGCTGGTCCAGGTTGCCTGAAGGACTGATCTAGAACAGCGATACCAAACGACAACCCACGCGCTGGTCACAGAGAAGATTTCTAGTTCAGGGGGCTTGGGCGAGCCCTGATGGCTCCTCTTGCCTAAGCAACGTCAGATGTTGCTCCTGAGTTGACCTGCAGTTCAGGGCTCCCCCAGCCATGAACCCAGGTCAGAAGGGCTTTTCCAGGGCCCCCTGACCTCCAAGGACCCTGGTGAGCGTAGTGACCCCACGAAACATCCGGGGCTGCAAGCACAGGAGGGAGGCCGCTCACCTGGGGGCAGGAAGAGCGTGGCGCGCACACGGCCCTCGCGCACGGGCACGCGCCGCACCCCGGGAGCCATGAAGTGACGCTCGTGCACCGCCCGCGCCAGCAGCTGCCCGCCGTCGGGCTCGTGGCCGTCCAGCACCTCCAGCTCCACCACGAAGGGCGTCCGCACGTCGCGCTTGACCAGGCGCCATAAAGGCCGCTCGGGCTCCAGGGCCCAGAGCAGCCCCATGGGCTCGAGCCCCGCGAAGCTGCCGCCCAGCGCGGGCGCGCGCGCCAGGTCCAGGCGGCCGTGGGCGTCG